TTATAGTTATTATATATATATATATATATCATATAATCCGCGGCCAGTGTAATTATTCCATCTTCACACAACAAAACACACGACAGCACACACACACCACACACACACACCATATTATTAAATGTGTGTGTGTGTGAGTGAGTGTGTGTTGTGGTGATTGCGTAGTGTGTGTGTGATTGTGAGCTGTGGTGTGTGCGGTGTTGTATGGTGTGCGTGTAAAGCGTCCTGTGTGTCCCCTATAATGTGGTGTCGTGTGTGTCGCTGTGTGGGGTGTGATATTGTATTGCTGTGGTTGTGTGTGTTTGTGGTTACGTACATGTGTGTGTGTGTGTTTGTGTGTGTGTAAAGAATGGACATGATACACTGGCCGCATTATATATTAATATATATTATATATATAATAATATATATATATATATATATATATTATATATATTTTAGATTTGAGAAAGTCATTTTTTATAATACCCTTCACAGATTAATGAAATAACTATTTTCAGACATTCGAAATGTCCGAAAAATCCAGGAAGCTGAAAGCTTGTTTCTTAACCCAGAACTACTAACAGAGTAATTTAAAGAAAGAGGAAACAACTTCAAGAAAAACAAAAACAAAAACAAACAAAAAAACAATTGTTTATTGTATATCATATTCTTTCAACAAATATATACCCTTAATTTTCCGAATATTTATCGTTAATAACCCTAATTTAAGTGCAAAAATAAAGAAAAACTATATGCTGATATTATGACGTCATAGTGATGTCTTGGAAATCCGATAGGAAACAGGGTTGCCTGTGAAAGGCAGCACACTCTGGCTTAGCTGCCTCTCCTTTGAAGATGGACGCAAAGCAAACGAAAATTGTAACTCGAGGCCGCATCATTGGGGTGAGGGAAAGTGGCCTCTCTTTCCCAGTGAAATTTCCAGAGAGTTGGGTATCTCACGATCTGTTGTTTACAAGTGGATAAGGAGGTGGGAGGAGGAGGGCACCCTGAATGACCGCTCTCGTTTCGGTGCTCCACGAAAAACGACCGCAGATCAAGATGCTCAAATCCGGGAGACGGTGGAGACAAACCCCTTCACCAATGCGGTCAAAATCCAAGAACTACAGCTCCCGGTAACAAGTCGCACGGTGAGAAAGCGATTGCATGCAGATGGCATTCATCACCGAATACCAGCTGTAAAAGAGAGAATGGCCGAACGTCATCACCAAGGTCTTCTCCAATTCGCTCAGCAGCATATCGACAAAGATTCTGGATTACTGGGGGGAAGAGAGTCTGGGGAAGAGTTATCTGGACTGATGAAAAAAACTTTTTGTTCCACCGCGCACGGGAAGCTTCATTGCTGGAGGAGAGATAACACAAGGTATGTAAATATAACCCTTTTCACCTTGCATTTTATTGTATTATGATGTATGGAAAAAAATCAGTCTACAGATTATTGCCGTATGGCATTATATTCAATGATTTAATTTCCCTGTAATTTCCAGATACGATAGACAAAATATTAATGAAACTGCGAGAAGTGGCCACGTGACATGTAATATGTGGGGGTGGATCTTCCTGCATGGAGTTGGCGAGCTTGCAGAAATAGAGGGAAGATTCAATTCCGAGAAATATATAGAATTGTTGGAAGAAGTGTTTCTCCCGTCAGTACTGAGCTATGCTTCGCCGTTCCCAGAAACGATCATTGTCATGCAGGATAACTGCCCTATACATACTTCGAGGGCAGTTACGAGATGGTTCCGAGACCAAAACCACCTGGGGGTCTTACCCTGCCTGGCCAAGCAAGAAATTTGACCTGAACCCCATAGAAAATGTCTGTGCAAATATTGTTAACGTCGGGGAAACGGCCAATGAAAGAACCTGTCAACAGTTAATACAACATGCAAAGAGGGAATGGGAAGTGTTGCGGAGGAAACCGGAACTAATTTATAAGCATGTCGCTTCTGTCCCGGAAAGACTGCGATTAGTTATGGAAAGTAATGGAGGTTGGACAAGGTTTTAATAAAAACGAATTGTTCCAGTTGGTATGATTTTTTCCTAGTATTTGCCCGTTTCTACATAAAGCTGATTTTCTTTAATAGTGAAAATGTAACTAATTATCTTCAAAATTGACGAGTTTTCTACTATTTGGTCAGTCCATTCAAGGAAAAGGTATTTCGGTTATCAAATCCATTTTGTATCATTTAGCGCTGAACGTGGTTCCTAAGGTTACAAATGTAAGATCAATAATCCTAAACTTGCAGTACGCATTCCAGTAGTCAAATAACGGCAATGGCAAACAGCTGCATTGAAAATGGTCATCTTTACTTCCTGAACTCGCACACACACTCACAATGATAAAACCTATATATTCACTGTATCCCTACTGTGATTTTGCATTAAGTGAATGTTCTGTGATAAAGTTTTTTTCATTCTATTATCTCCTAGTTTGTTAAGGTTAAGTAAATTTATTTCCCTCCTTCAAACCACCTAACTTGTAGTTGCTTGAGTTGAAACAAGCAAACGTGTATTTACTTGCTGTGCTGCTCGAATGTGGATGCGTCTCCGCATAGAAACGCCATGGCTTGTAAGATCTTGATAGCGCAAACCATCATCAGGATTTAGCACAAGATAAAGTGCTTTCCAGATGAACGAAACGAATCATACATACGTGTTTATATCTCATCGCCTAATATATATTTGCGCGCGCGCACACACACACATGCACACACACACACACACGCACACATACACACACACACACACACACACACACACACACACACACACACACACACACACACACACACACACACACACACACACACACA